GGGAAAGAGGAATTTCCAGAGCAGCTAATGAGATGTGGAAAATCCAAACATTCTGTTATGGATGTTGATGACTTAAGTTCTAATTAGGTAGAGCTGCTTAGAGGGGACAAGAGGCCATCCAAATACTGGTGCATTTCAAACAAACTTGGAATTAATTTTTGACAATGCTGTAACACTGGATTACTAGCTTTGCTTTCACTTGTGAAATTTTTAAATTAATATCTGACTGTGAGGTCTTGTGTCTAATGTCCAAATGTAATGGCAAATCACGGTGTTTAATAAAAAAGAAACAGCGGGGCCCAAGAGTATGAAAATGCTTGGCAAACTAGACGCAATTCAGTGAGAGGATAAAATACAACCTAGCAAAGTCTTGCAGATCTGGCAGCTAGTCGCTCTTTGTACCATAATGCTGTCAACATACACATATTGAAGGCAAAAATATTCAGCAAGTCTAAGTGACAAAAACGCAAAAGCAAAGACAAATAGATGAACGCGTCTTCTGCGCTACCAGCCCTGTTTTGTCCTTGCAGTTGTATTGCAAGGTAAAACGTGTTGTGTGTTAAGGATTTTGCGAAGGACTGCGGAATTTGCTATGCCTATCGACTCGACGGCGCTGCTCCCGATCAAGTGTGCGACGATCCCCGATGCGGACAACCTTTTCACCAGGCTTGCCTGTATGAGGTAAAGTAATTAATGGGACAAACTTGCCCGTTAACTTGCGGATTCTAGAAAATCAGCGTTGCCCACTTACATTTCAGATGAAGCAAAGTCCTTTAAGGAGTGCTACAGCAGTCGCTGCGCTTCCTCTCTTGTCTTCTAACCCCCAATTCCTAAATAAGCTCCCTTATTTAGGAGGGGAACCTGCCTCACGTTGTGCTTATACAGACTCCGACCTGACACGCGCCATGTCAGGTCTTCATCAAATGAACTCTGTTGGGAAAAACCCCTGGTAACAGATTGTTCTTAAATTTGATATGGAACAAATGTGAATTCTAATCCACTTACTTCTGTTGCAGTGGCTACAAGGTCTTCCTTCGAGCAGGCAGAGCTTTAATGTCATCTTTGGTGAATGTCCGTACTGTAATAAGGTAAGGCAGTCTAATGAAAATGGGTGAGTGAACTAAATAGTGTGTGGTAGCTTAGATAAAGGCAAAAACTGTAACAAAGTCAGCTGTAAAATAGAGCTTGTGGCTACTATCTTCCCTTTACGCATTGGAATGAAGAGAGGAAAACTTTAAATTCCCAGGCATTTGATCCATCAGTCTATAACTAAAGGTTTTCTGAAACAGTATAGACACACCAGTTATCGACATACTTGTGTTAGAATAATTAAACATCACACCACGTTGTATTTCATGATACTTTTTTAATGTTGCTGTAGCAAAGGTCCAGTTTCAAAAAAAAAAACTGAAAAAAAAAAAGAATCCCAACATTCATAACAGAAAACAGCCTTGTACAAATAGCTTAGTGCATACGTAACTATTGGGTGCGGAATTGGAAAGCTTAAGTGAACTTGCCGTTAAAAGATACGTATTGACAATATTATTTAAAAAAATCTTTTCCAAGCCACTGACCCTGAAATCTTCAACGAAGAAACTTTAAGAAAAAACCGCATGATGGGAACACCACTGCGCTTACGCTGAAGACGTTGCAACAGTGACATCAAAGAAAATACAAGGAAAGTAATATTAGAGGCAGAAGTACAAGGATAGCTACGCTGTAGTGGCATGTTTCGCCACTAAATGCAACCCTGAGTAGAATAGCTATGGAAGGACGAGTGACGTCAGAACCAGTTTCCTGCAATGACGCTGGCCGATCTGTAGTTAAGAGCTGATCGTGTTTCTTTCTGGGTTCTGAGAATATGGCTTGGGGGTCGAAGGGTAGTAATTCTCTTGCAGTGTCTTCCTGCGGGGAAAAAAGAAAGTTATAATAAACTTAATATTGAATAAGTGAGATGTGAATCGGAAAAACAAAGGTGCCATCTGGGTATTTAAGTTATCCTAGAGAAAGCAATCCAATTCTTACAAAGGCTTACAACTCTGGAAGTTGCAGGTATAAGTATATTGGATATTAAGTGTATAACATTAGGTATGATTAACCACCTTCTCAAGAGACATACTCTATATTTATTACTGAAGTCAACAGCTGAAATCTTTCTATATCTTTAACTTGTTTCCAAAAAATGTTAATATATTAAGTCTTTACAGTGTTCCTGCTAATAAAGTTTTAGCCTAGACATTACTCTGAAGTTTGATTTGCCGTTTTAATTTGTGTAATTTTTGCATTTCCTAGCGAAGCTCAAGTTCTCCTGATTTATCACAGGTAGTATAAATACGCCGGTAGCGTGGGGTTTGCTCTGGCTGGGTAGGGGGGCGGCTGGGGGTTGTTTAGGTCTCCAGAAGCAATGTCACCCTTGGCTTACCTTTCCGATCTCCGTCTCTGAAAGGGATTCCCAAACACTACAATTCTGTTTCTCACAGATCTTGACCATATTTTCCACTGTCCCTTAGAAAAATTTCCACCTTTGGTTTCCTTTCCGTGATCCCATTCACAAGATGTTGTTTTTTAACAATACATCCCACTGAATTTCAACCCTAGCAATACAGTTTTCTTGGTGAATATTCATAACTTAAATTGTATTTCTCTAATAGAATTTTCCTCTCTTCCTGGTTTATTCCTCTTTCCAATTAGTGACAGACATGTCTGCTTCGCTTCTTTTAATGAAATAGAAAGATAATCTAGAAGATTATCTATAGATAATAGAAAGAGATATCTATCTGTAGATAACAGAAAGATAATATCTAATAGAAAGATATTATCATGTCCAACTTAAAGACAGCTCCTATGTTTTTTCTTCTCTGCTTTTTGTTGTTTCCATATTATTTTCTAGACGTTACTTCCTCGTTCTCTCTTTCCCAGTTTGTCAGCTGTCCCGTTTCTCACAAGCGTCCTACCCTTCTTGTCCTGCTCCTCTCAGTCAGGTGTTCCCCTTTCAGCATAGAAATGGTTCTCGGTTTAATTTATACCTAAACTGTAACTGCTTTCGAGCAGCATCTCACGAAGCAGACCCACTCCTTTCGTTGTCCCAGCTATGTGACATGTTTCTGAATGTGCTTCCCCAAGAGCTGAAGCAGGGAGAAAGGGAACTTTCCCTCCAGGTTCCGTATTCAGACCTTTAACCGCACGGTCTCTGAACGGCGAGAGGGCGGCCATCCCCCCTAAGTGGCTAAGCTAGAGTGAGGTGCCTGCGCTTAACTACTCCAGGCAGTTGCCTAACCGAAGTGTCTGGAATTGCTCCCTGGAGAACGCCTGCCAGCCTCTCGCCACTCTGGTTCCTGCACAAACCATTATTTCTTTTCCCGCTTTGTGCCTGAAAAATCCTCCTGAATTTCCATAACCTAAAATCTCCGGTATAGCTTTCCTTTACCGAGCTCCTAAGTTATGTGAAAGGAATTAAGAGGAAGTCTGCAAATTGAAACTAATACAATCCTGCCTTTTTCTCCTTCTCCAGTTTCTCATTTGAATATCTTAAATGTGATCCGACATGCATTTTAACTCTCCCCTATTACGCATAAGATTCAGTGAGTACCACAGAACTACTCTACATAGATGCAGCATTATTCATCATTTTGGAAATTTGGGAACGCAGTGGCTTTTCCTTTAGAAAGACTAAATCAAAACACAAATACATCTAAATACTAGAGCAGCCATTAGTCCCATTCCTGTAGAAATGTACTTTTCCTTCCTCCCGCGAAAAGGAGGGAAACACAGATCCCCCAGTTACTCTCCAGTACCAAGATCTACAACCCATACTGTGTGCTTGCTGCTCAAGAAAAGAGGGGAGGTCACACCAGCTCTTTTTTCCCCCCCTACGTCATGCTGGAAACCTAAACGTGGCTCTCTTCCCATATCCACTTCTTTCTTAGGACTACAGTAGCTTTTATACAAAATACACAGGAGGGAGGAGATTTGGGGGAGAGATTTACTACCTTTTTTTTGCTAATACTTTTTAAATTTTACATTTGAGGACTAGGAAGTAGCACTGGAATATCTCCATATTACAAAATCGTATTTGTTACTTCGAGTCACTGCTGTGTCAGGACTCCAGAGACTTTGCAGAATCTGTCTACCTTGCTATCAGCCAAAGCATCTCCAGAAATTGTTCTGCTCACCACTTTACTGCCTGATGCTCTCAGGTACAGCTGTGCTTTTTCTGCTTCGCTCTCCTAGCTTGTACCGGAGTCTCCAGGCAGTGATCAGCAGACGGCTTAAAGCAAAGAATTTTGGATTAATAATAAAGCTACCTTTAAAGTTGTCTTTTTGTGCTTATCAGAAATTGTCCTCGTTTAACAAGTTTTTTTTCTATATGAAAGGAACAAACAGGGTAGAATCTTTGTTAAAATATACTTAAACTCCATAGCAAAGGAGCACAGTATGATTTACTAAGATGTACTTTATTCTGCATTATTTTTACTAAAACCTTGATGAATTTTTTCACCCATTTTTTTCATGTACAGTTGAAGAGTAAGACTGAACACATTCATTCAACCCTTTGATGCAGTAATTACCGATAATATTGGAGGTTAGTTAACTACTAAAATCCTCAGATTAAAAAGTCAGAATTTAAGAACTTAATTAAGAGCGTTACGAGGTTTTCTGCTCCATAGAAAACTACTGAAGTAAGTTTCTACCAAGAAAACAACAGGATCCACGAAGGGAGACTGTCATTTCCCAACACTTTTATCTGCGCACCGGCGCGGTACTCGGTGCACTGCTTTACTACCAAACTATAGAAAAAACTGGAGTGGGAGCTTGAAAATAGTGTGACCAAGCAACTACACGCAAACTTTTAGTGTTTGTGCCAAACATCTCGTTTGCATACATTTCGTTTAGGCTTTGTTTGTGGTGGTGTGGTGTTTTTTTTTTTCCCTAAACTCTGATTTTTAGAAAAGCTGATCTTTCTTTTGCAGGGTGCCATGACTGTTCTAAGGTAACACCAAAAATCTCACCTTTGGTGGGTGGTCAGGCTCCTGAATCGTAGCGCAAAATTTAAGCGGCTTCTCTTCAGGCTGGCAGTGCCGGCGTGTTACCCGAGCACAGGGCCTGCTGAGGCAGTCACGGTCTTCCTCTTTCACGTCGTTCTGCTTCTGTTGCGCTGGTTTGGGTGAAGGCTTCGGGAAGTGAACCTGTTGATGTACAGACAGTAATTCTGTATGCTGAAAAGAATTCAGTAACATCCAAAGTTATCACAGGTACCGTTCTGGTACTTGGACCTGTCCGGGTTGAGAGAGGGAGGGATAGTGCCCTGGTGGCACTTACTCCCTGGGCTTACAAGAAACTCTCGAGGTTTATGTTTGGAATAAGACAAGCCAGTAAGCATATGCCAACTTCTGGAGTTTATGACATAGCTCCTGGCTTTTTCCAAGCACTTCTCTTCCTTGCCCACCCCAAAAGGTGGACACGGAGCTATCAGAGCCGACAGACTCCCAGGAGATGCCATGCCTTACCGTGGTGCCCAAATCCTCACCTGCTGAGGCTCTGTTTGGTGAAGCATCCTGTTTAATCTGCTTGGCTTTCCTTCATCGTGGAGTTGTTTGCCTGTTACCCCAGCACAGGCTTTGTTCTGACAGATGTATTCTTCACCTTCCATCTTTTTTTGCTTCTGCTGAACTGGTTTTGGCATAGGCTTTGGTAAGCAAACCTGTTGAAGTACAGTGAACAATTCTGTATAGTAAAAAAAAAAGTCGGTATTTCAAAGAGAAAAATGTTCTACCTTCAGTACTAAGAACACAGAATGACAGTAAGCTTTCATCTCTCTCAAAATAATTGTTTTCAGCATTTTAATTATCGATAAACATCATCTTCAAACAGTACAAAGTTAGAGCGATGCTGTATTTGGGAAGTACCCTATAAAATAAACTTGAGTTGTACATTTCCGAACATTCACTAGTAACCTTTATTGGGAACGATGCCAGTAAGTCACCGCTGTTTCATGGACAAGCAGAGCTGAGTGCATTTCATATCACTGGATTCGAGTCAAATGCAAACCTCTCTGAAGTAAGAAAATCACTAAGTCTTCTGACTCGGGTAATCTAATTTAAGAGTTAAGTCTTGCATTCTTTTACAGTCTTCTACAATGTAAATGGGGACTACACGGCGAATAGTCGCTTGAGTTAATGCAAGTTTTTTCCAGTGCTGCTCTAAGCACTAAGTATCAAATGATGTCTGTTTTTGGCTTGTGTAACTTGGAAGACAAATGTAGCCAAAACACAGGCTGTATGCCACATGCCTTTGGTACTTCTGGCACACTAATAACTCTGTAACTGTAATGTTTGCATATGGTCCTCTATGCAGCAGCTGTATCTGAATATAGCAGCTAAAAGAGAAATAATGGGCTGCTTTTTTATACTGCAAATTAAATACATACAGGAGATAGAAACTGCACAACCTAAATACCGTTGAAAGTGCCAGTAGGCACTTCGTATATTGTTTAATCCAAAACACCTTTTAAGAATATAATCCATAGTTCTGCTCTGAGAAAATTATTAATGTTTAGAAACATAAAGGCATATCTGTTCTGAATAACAACTCGAGCTAGTTTCAAACAGCCTGCCCCAGGAGAAAACACTGTAGGTAGCCCTGGGAAATGGAGTTACCAAGGGGAGGCTCGGTGCCACGCTGACGGTTACTGAAAGCAGAGGCCCGTGCTGTTTTCTCTGCATCACGGCACCACGCTGCATCATGCGAGAACGTTTTGGCAGCTAACTCTGGTATCTTCACAATGTATACGTACCTTAAATGACTACATCACTTTCAAAACAGGACTTACAGCACTTGTGAAATATTTATTTTATGCCCCCAAATTACCATATTCCACACTACTAACAACTACAGGCTGGTATCGATGTAATTATTTTTTAATATGAAAGCTACAAAATCTAGCAGGTAGTCAGCTGGCCTTCCCATACTCCATTCGGCCCTAATGCTAGCGCTTTCACTCTAGGTGAAAAAGCTGAAAATATTTATCCAGTGCCAAAAACTGTGGTAAACAAATTTGAGAATTAACGGAGTTAATATTTTATCACCTATGTTTGGTGTGCAATTGAAACAAAGAACCAGGATGTAGCCACTGCTAGGCTTTTTATGTCACCTCAAGGTTAGATTTGTGTACTCTACAGGGAGCTGCATCTTAAAATTCACGTCCTGTAGCAATTCCTCTTCACATCATCTTCACGGAGCTGGTGTTACAGGATCCCCTTATTGGTACTTACGGGTGTTTACTGGTCTTCAGAAGGGAATTAGCCCAAGATCACCTCTTTCCTGTGTACCAAACTGGTACAGGTGGAATCAGACAGGTCATCGGGAGTCAGATTCTGCTCATAAGCAAGAAGTGAGGAGACAGTGGATTGTTTGTAGTGGCTCCCACTATTCCGAGGTTGCCTCTTTAATGGGTGAAGTGTTTGGTGAATAAAAGGAGAGGTGGAAAGGGAATGCAGAGGGCCGAGATGAAAAGAGTCAGACCTAGGATAACTACAGACAGCGCCGTGAAGAGATGCAGTGGGAAGTGCCTGCCTGTCACTGAACACTTTGTCAGGACTGTAGCACCAAAGCGCACCAGGCCTTGAATATCCTCCACAGCCGATAGCCACAGACTGAAAAATCGGATTTTCTGAAAATAGCAATAGATTTAAAGAAAGTTCAGTTATCTGCTCTCTCTACTTATATTTAAGTGCTCCTTAAGTCCTTTGAATAACCCTAGAAATTTCCTTTCTGCAGCTGTTTTGTGGCGAACGTTACAGGAAGCTTGCGCGCGTAAGCAGCAGAACTGGCTGAAGAAACACACTCAAGTGAAAAAGAGGTGCTCGTGGGAGCAGTGCTAGCATTCTTACTGTTCCAAGGAGCAAGACACTCAACATTAAAAATGCCTCTGAAAAAGTGATGATAGGTGCCAAGACGCAGTAATATGCAGGCACGCTCTCTCTCTGATCTTATTCTTCGCCATCAAAACCAATTCTGCCTCGTCCTACAGCACACGAGTGGTGATAACTGACACTCCTCATTCATGGATTTTTCAGTGGGGTTGCGAACTTGCAAATAGCGAGCGCTACAGCAGCTTTTACAGCCTGGAAGTTCAGGATCATCTTTTATGCCAGTATACTGTCAAGTCTTAGGCCAGGCAATAAGAAGAAAACAGATTTACTATTCAATATCTGACTCTAAGAAATCAAAGACTCTTGTGAACCAGAGATCCAACCGGATCAGCTGGAGATCAGTTAACAGCGATCGGATATTTCAATGAAGTTCAGAAAACAGTACAAACGTAAAAAAAAAAAAAAAAAAAAAAAAAAAAAAAAAGCTTCTCAAATTAGTGAGGATTAAATGGTCACCATCGTAGCAAGAGAAATACTGTCACCGAAATAGCTTTTGGTTTTGCTAAAAAAAAAAAGTGATAAAACCAGAAAAGTCAATAAAATTGCTAAAATAAGTATCTGTAATTACCAAGATCAAAACCCAGTGCCTTTTTATTAAACATGAACTTTTGTTCTGCCTTCCATAACACGTAAATAGTGCTGACAATTGGTTTGTGAGGCACTTGCTACAATAAAATGTAATTGTATCATGAGAGAAAGGTGACAATCAGGAGATCATGAAAAAATTACATATTCTCACTGGTGGTTAATTAGCCATGCAAAACCCCCTCAAACAGATATTCTCTTCTATTAGGAATGATTACTATGCAGGCCTACAGATGTCAATACCACAGTCATTCAAATACTTCTTTTTTTTCCCTACTAATTGAAGGTTGTAAAGCTCTGGTGCCAAGGTTTTGCTTCCAAAGAGCTAATTTATGACTAGAAGGATATTTTATGTCTTCAGTTGCAGCAGCTACAAAACTCAGCAAATCAGAACCATCTGTGCACTGATACTTGAATCACCATTCATCTAGCAGCCTATCAGTCACATTAGTTTGCATCCTGCATTCTTGGCTCACGTACACTTGTGATGGTCCAAAGTTCACCAGAAATATTAAAAATGAATGGTACCCTGACCCTGCCTTATTGCGCACGCATCAGAGACAGAAACGGGGCTTTTGCGTGCGGGGAGTTTTGAGGCAGAGGTACGACGGGACTGACATTTCACAGCAAGTCCAGTAAGACTGCTAATTACCTCAATCTCCACTTATTAAAACAGGGTTTTATTAACTGTATAGTTTCAGACTTAAAAGCACAAAAGGAAAATACAACACGATAGCTGTCAGTTTTAAAATTCTGTGTTAGTGCACCACATAGCACTGCATACCAATAACACGCTTAAATCCCAGAATAATACCTCCTCCACATTAGTGGCTGCAGGAGTATAAAGGCAAATGACAAAGAACGGTTTGAAAGCGAGAAAATGAATTAAATGCTTTCACTAATAAAGGTAACTTTGCTTTTAATCTGGAACGAAGGAAAAACCTGGCATTCAGGCTCGTCTTCAAGATGTTAGTGAACAAAGTCCTTGACTTCCCCATTATCCTGAAAGTAAATCATTCTCCACAGACCTACCGCTTTGAAGTGAGAGGCTGTAGGTCAAAAGGACTCATGACAGTTCTTCCTCCTTAAGGGTTGACATCCCACTTTTTAGCAAAGCCAGGGGAAACAGGAACTAACAAACATGGTGTATTTAAGGCAAAAGAACTGCTGTGTCAGTCTCATTTTGAGATCTTAAACTATTTCCTCTCCTACAAAAGAAAAGGCAACAATCAAGCAGGAGATGTCAGAAATAATCCCAGAACTGTCTGTCTTACCTTTGACACTTTGTGATTTCGCGTGCATGCTGCAGCGGAAAATTCCAGAGGGCCGTCGTAGCGAGTTCCACTTGACTCTAGTCCATCCAGCAGGATTTTCTTGAGCACTTGATACTTTGGCTTTTCATCATAAGCTAAGCCAGAAACGCATGCCAAAAACTTGGATATTTCACCTGTGGAGCATATTTTAATGTAAATTTCACTTGGTGTAGACCTAGAACTTCAGAAAGAATTTAATTCCAAAATGGATGCCAATCCTCCATTGCCAAACAAGATGACACAATTTCAGCTGAAGACACGCTCCACACACAGAACTGACAATATCTTGTCTTTTCCAGGTGAGAAAAGGAAAAGAGAGACTTGGATAAACAAGCTAACCCCTAAGTGCTCTGTCTTGTTCTGCACATACACTAATTCGTACAGTACCGAAAGCTATCTAAGTATAAAAACTAATCAAAATCCTTTATCAACAAATATTGATAGTTCTGTTTAAAATAGAAGTATTTTATATTGGATAGATCATAATACCCCTTTAAATATTAACTACTCTCAACAACAATATTTTAGTCTACATAGATATTATACTTTGAATGCTTTGGAAAAAAGGAACTTTTTTTTTTTTTTTTTCTTCTAATACTTGGACAAATATTGGTTTTGAGATTACATCCTAAAACAGTCTAACAGCAGCTTTATTTTGCTATCATTATCGAGTGGTTCTAGAAACAGGGAAACCACTGAATGGGCAGAAATAATGCTATTAGGAAAAACATATGGGGGGATCAAACTTTTCTTTCGATTGAAGACCCAAGTGTATCCTAAAACTGGAGTACTACACCAGATATTAGCATCTGGCAAAATCCCAGGCATAAAGATTTACTAAATATGCATACACATCATGAATATATTTTATGTAATATATGATGCATTCCGATAATTCAAATGCAGAAATGTTATGAAAAATAACCGAATAAATCAAAAATAAGATAACTGGCCTTGGAAGGAAGGTGGGTGTTTTCCCTGGGTTACTTTTGTATTTCAGTGAAGGAAGAACCACACGACAAGACAAACCGTCCATTCATTTGCTTCTTCAAACTCTGAATACTAAGCAATAAACCTTTTGTAGACAGTTGCTTACTATTTCCATACCAACAGCTACTTCTGTTTTTAAGATCGTCCCTGTTTCCTAACACCTTGGATTACATACGATACATAAGATCCCTTATGTCACCCTATGGCACACATCACAGATGAGAGTGATCAAGATTTTTGTACTACCAGACACTGGGGTTGAAAATTTAGCCCTCTGTGTCTGTATCATCGACTTAGTACTTCTTTATGGGATAATATAGGAAAGCAGCAGGGAAAACAAAAAGAAAAAAAAAAAAAAAAAGAGTCCCTGCAATAAAAGCATTAAGTATCCTGTATCAGTAAGCATCAAGAATCATTTATTGCAGAGTGACCAGCATTCGACAGCATCCAGGAATTTACCTTTGCCCCTTGCAGTAAACAAGCCTTTGAGCTAAAAACATTTAAAATATAATAAGCTTGTACACGAAGGGCCTGATCCAGTCCCACTGATGTCAGAAATATTAGTTCAATTAAATCGCACCCTGAATTAATGAATGTGACATATAATCTAACTATGAGTGTTACATAACTACTGCGTTATCAGCTAAATACAGATATCGCGGGCTGAATTCTTCTGTCGGATAGGTAGCGTGAGAGTGGTTCACGCAGGCTTGATTTCAAGGGGTTGATTCAAGGATGACTTCTGCTCGCACACTATAGTTTGCCCTAAGACCGGAGCCAGGTAATACTGTGTGGACTCAGGCCCAGCAAAGGCATCCACCTTAGGGTGCAAAGCTTAGCGATTACTTTTAAGATTTTAAATTGAAGGCTTTGTTAAATTTGTGTTACTTCTACTTTTATACTGCTTCACCCAATCAGACTAAGACGTTTAAGTATTTTTTGTAGCAGACTAAAGAGCTATATGGTACATACTGCAAGCACACTTACTACAGCTGCTTCCAGAAGAATCCCATTCCATCACTGAATCTGGGAGCTCATCCATAAGTCTGAAACAACACGAGAGTGCAACAATTTAATGTGGTTTTGGAGCAGGTGATTCTTCATTTGGGATTTAGGAAGACAGCAAGTCTCAATTCCAAAGGGAGTGGACCTCCAGGATAGCTAGTGATTCACAGTACTGCTTTTAAAACAAAATCTCCTCTTACCAGCTATATTTTTAACTCTTTGGAGACTGCTGATTTCAGCAAGACCAGGCTTACAGCTAAGACTGCACTTTAACATTAAGTTTTTCTTTGCAGATGTTTTAAGCTTTCTAGAAAGAAAAAGAAAAAACCTTTGAGCTGAGATGGCTTGTTCTGATTTCAACTTAATGATTAATATTTGTATTTCAGAATTTAAGAAGCAGTTCTGGTCTGCTACCAGTCATTTAGCATCAGGCTCTTTCTGCCATGTAGCTCACGGGCAGCTGGGTGATGGCTGTCAAAATTACAAGCAGACACAGCAGGGACAAAAGGGGAGAGGGAGGTTAAATGACCTTAAGTCCCATGCACTTCATAAACTGAAGGGCAGGGCCACAGATGTACTTTCTACCCATCCAGAAACAGAAATAGCAAAGGACAATGGAGCTCAGAATCAATCATACCCTAAAAACGGATGAAGTAACACCAGCTCTCATCTCTGTGCAGGCATGAACCAGGATGATCACCTAGCACCAGTAGGAACCTGCAGCTGAGGGCAAGCCCCCTTGCCCTGAGTAAGTGAAATCTGCTAGTTCACTCTGGCCGTTACTACCGTTAAGGGATCCCTTTTTTTGTTCGTTTGTTTAAAGGAGACATAAAGGTCCACCAATCAGTAACACGATGTGTTCTCAAACGCATAAAGTTGGGGTACATAGGCTAATAGCCTTCAATTCAGTAATCTGTTGTTTAGTATCAGAAATAGGGGTTTCAATTTTGGGGAAATGAAACATTCAAACATAAATATTTTCCTGTAATCTAGCTTGAATTCCAATTCAAATGGAACCTCTCCTCTAATTACAGAATGGCATGAACGTTTCTAAACTCAAATACAGCAGCAATCCCTAAGTATCCCCAATACCAATGCCCAGAGCTTTGGCACAGCTGCCTCATCGCCCCAGCGTTACTGGGAGGAAAGACTAAGAACTCGTCGCGAAGGGATGAGAGGATGAAACAACTGGTGAACACCAGAGTTTGAGGTCCTTTCCACAGCACCCCACCTTCCAGGCCCAGCCCCTTCTTCCTCACCATCACACAGACTCGCAGCAAAGGACTGGCAGGCTCAGAAGTGATTCGCCTGTGCTGCTTAATGTACTTACGAACTTATAAGCAACTGGATACACCCGGATGTCTATTTCTGGCCTTTGAAAACAGTATAGGCACTGCAAATTGAGATAAATAAAAGGGGACGACCTGGGCAAGTTACCTAATACCAAGAACATAATTCATTAGACTAATAAGTTATTTCTGATAAATGGAATCTGTATCATTTCCCATGCGTTTCCTCTAAGTGTCTGTTTGCTTGACGTGTGAAAACGCTAGCAATCTAAGGGTTAACCGCAAGGGAAGAATTACTGAAGCAGCTCGATTGATTAAATTGATTTAACATTGAATTGTATAAGTGTTACCTTGTAGGGGGTTGTATAATGATCAGAACTTCTAAAGGAGAAATATTAAACATAACATACGATGTCAACATTTACAGATGCAATCTGTATTATCCACAGTCTGCAGGCTAACCTTTTTCTCTGTTGAGAGCAGATGCCACACTGAATTTGCAGATTGATTTCTGTGGATCAGCTATCCCTATTGTGTACCTCTGTTGTGACTTGCCCTACTTAAAAGTTTGCTGCCTTCTCCAATTGTGATGTTACATTTATGGGTAACTACTCTTCTGTACAGCCTTCTACAGGCTACGCTGTACCACATGCAATTAACTCTCTCAAGTCCCAACTGTGAAAGCAGAGAAAGAAAACACTAATGCACTCTGTTGCTTCAGTAAGCTCTAAATGAATCACGCTGGGAAAAAGGAAAGATGTTAATCAAGTTCTTCAGTATTTTGGTATTTAATTGTTTGTGATGGCAGTAGGCTTACATAACATTAAAAACCTACATAAAAACATCGGAAAACTAGTATCATATAGAAAGGAAAATAAATTGAATGCACATGTGGAAAAACTTCCAAGAGATGTTTGTACTATGGTGTCTACAAAGCAGCCACAAAGTTTAATGGAAACACACAACAACCTTCTGTACACGCAATAAGGCCTGCACTAATTCACAAATGTTTTCTTTAAAAAAAAGAGTATTAAAAAAAATACACAGCAGACAAAATGACTGTCTACTGTGCATTTGAATTTATCGTCTCTCCACAGCAGTACATACATAAACATGTGGAAGAGGCTATACATGCACAGAGAGTTCTTGTTTTTAACTGCTTCTAACATCTCTCAATCAAGGAAAATTGTTTTAGCTTCCTCGTAAGGTGCTAGTCTACAGGATGTAAAGCTGTCTTTTTCAGACCTGTTAAGCGATGAGGACATTGCAGGGTTCTAGGGTGGTACGCGTATGCGCGTGTGTACGTGCGTGTTGTTTTATTTTTACTTTGTTTTCGCAGTCTGGACAGCTACAGGGTCCTTCAGGTTCTGTTCCCAGGGTAGCTTCCCACATAACCATTGCAGCATGCAGTAGCCAAGGATTTCAAGGTCGCCTCGTCTGGATGGGGCTAAAATGTGGGGAGGGAGGGGGGAAGAGGAAAAAAAAAAAAAAAGATGAAGAATAAGAACCTCTTCTTGGGAAATAGAAAAGACTTTGATTGAACTAGTGTTGATGAAATATGAAAAAGCCAAATGGGCAAAGTGTTTTGTTTATTCAGCTGTATTAGACCTAAAACGCCCCGGCATTTGGCCACAGTCCACAGACAGGCAGTGACTTGTTACTGTTGAAGTAAGGGTCAGTTTCCTCACCTCCTCCAACTTCATCCTTCCTCAGTCTAGCCTGTCACATGGACTTGATCCCCATGGCCTCTGACATGATCCAGACAGCCCATAACTGAGTACCAACACTTTCTCAAAGAGCCAAGCAGTAAAACAAAGAAATAAATGTCTGCTGCTAAATTGCTAACACATGTTCCAGGAAGTCCATGGGGTCCACATTGGTCATGCAGGGACCCTGTGAGTGCAGACTAAACACTGATGGCCTTTCCTGTTCTCCTACAGAGCTATTTGAACTTGGATGATATGACAAAACTGCCATCTAGTGTACATTTACACACCAAAGCTGTCTGCTTACAAGTACCATGAACTGTTTGTTTAGAGAGTTGTAGCACAAGGTAAAACACACTTGCTGTTTAGCAAGTCCTGGGTAAACTTACCACTACTGCTTCCAAAAAGGACGTTATTTCAGGAATAACTTACTCTTACCCTGCACACCCCAAACAGATACACTAACTCCAGAATACATATACAGTAGATACAGTTAAATCAAAAATCAACCCCGTCCCCAAACATCTTCTATGCAGAAAAACAGATAACTGAAGTTAATCTATAGATTGACTTTTCCAAGAGCAAGACGGCGGGGGGGGGGAAAGTGCAATACTAATAGAATTGCTATCGCTTGCTGCTATTCAGAGGAAATCAAACTTGAAAAAACTGAACAAGCAGGACGGCTGCAATATTTCTTTGTACACATTTGACTTGCAGCCTATAGTTCGCAAGTCAAGACCGCATGGAATCTGCAAAACCAGAAAGTATTAATTGTGATTAAAGACAGACAGATGTAGAAGTTAAATTTATGCTTTTCCAAAATGAATTTGAACTTTCCAGGAATGAAAGATCTCGGATTCGCTCAGTACTTTTTGTCTAGCGTAAAGACTAGTAGTTGAGCATAGTGCTGTTAATCCAGCTGTAAACAGATATCGTATTTTATGGGCCTTCATTAAATAAATTCCAGAAAGTCACTCAGCAAACTTATCTTTTAATTTAAAAAGTCATCTGCTAAAAGCTACGGTGCCAACACATCATAACTGTTTCTTGTTACCATACACACATTATTGTAAAAGCAGAAGATTAGTTCTTATACATTCTCTATCTTAACTGCTATTAGACTGTGGGATTATTAAAGGCCCTTCAATCTAACAGAACGCTACACTATCCCTTGGGTGTCGTTTATTTTCTGCACTAGATTCAGCAACGTCCTAATGCAAGACTTGGCTCTCATATTAAAATAAAAACACAATCTCTACCACTTGCTGTTCTGTAGTGATTTCTTCAGCCATAAATCTCCTGTTAACTGTGGAACAATTCCATTCATACACATGTGTTCACAACTCGTTTTTCCATTATGGCAATTCCAGATTATAACCATATAAGCCAGCATTTTTGATTGCAGATCCTCTAATTTTCACACAATGCTTTTCTGGCACCTGTTTGTGTAAGATGGGCTACAGAAAGTGGCCTTTTGAGAAAAATTGTCAAAATTACAATGGACCACTTTTTTCCACTGAGGGGCTAATTGATATGCAACTGTAAATAATGCTAAGTCAATTAGATTTCAGAACCTAACCTAAGAGAACTCGTTTTCTGACAAAACAGTCCCCAGAGAGTAAAGTTTACTTCACAGTTAACAGTTTGGCCGTGACTAATTACCTTCTCTCTCACAGGCAGATCTTCCAGCCATTTCCTGACTAACACTGGGGCAAAGCCATCGCAAACAGGGAGATGCTGCAAGTAAGACTTTACTAATACCTTCCGAAAGCCACAGTAGTCAGCTGGGGGGGGAGGGGGGGGAAGGTACATGTAACTTAAGACACGCATAGCTAAAAAATAAAAGGGGAAATGTTTTACAGAGAGATGGTAAACTCACGTATCACTTTATCTCCCAGGTCACTGCAGGTGTTACTACATGAAGACATTTACACGTGTTTTTCATAGAACCGCATGAAAATGTCAACGTTTGATTATTTGACTGTACTAGCTTGTTCTTTTTCTCTGCTCCTTTGTCAGCTCGGTATCAGAGATGCTAACTTCCTCAACTTTTAAAATCATTTAGATCTTTATAAAAAAAGTATTCAACCAACTAATCTTTAATGAATTAATATTATCTATGAACAATGGAATAATTAGATTTTCACCCCAAATAAAGCGGTAATACATACATTTCAATTATATGTTTACTTGAAAAAATAAATCTGCTAATATGATTGGGGATTACAAGAATCTTGACAAACATCGACGGAGAGAAGTCAATCTGGCTTCATTTTAAATGTGATAGCCATGCAAAAATACAAACGATTCTGCTTGATAATTTGTCACTGTTACAAGAGTATACATTCAAAATAGTACTTACATAAATCAAATTCTCTTACTTCTCTCTAGACTAAAAACTTGCTGGTTCTTTTTTCTTTCTTTTTTAATAGATATTTGATTTCTGCTTTTCTATTAACCAGGCATTTTTTTATTATTATTTTAGTCTCATATGAAATACTACTTAATGGGAACATGTTGGCGATATTTTATTTCACAATATTTTTATAGGTTAATTTTTTAATTTGAAGATTTAAGGCCTGATTCTATCCTCATTCCTGCCAAGATAAATCAGGAATAACTCCACTGAAGTTAATGAATTAACAACCATGTCAATGAAATCGGAGTCAGGCCATAAGAAGTTTTATGTACACCACAAACATATACTCAACATGCAGGCACAGGGTACAAACGATAACTCAGAATAACATAACTGAAGCAATTCACCCTGAGAAGAAAATATATTATGTATCTCTGTATACAGGATTTGGCAGCTATTTGAGCCCTTATTTATATTCAGATTACTATTTCAAAATAGATGATAAATGATATCACACTAGCCACAGCATGCTCTCAAAACTACACTGCTCCCAAGAACTCACCTGAAACCCATGTCAAAATGGGAGTTTTCCTCTATGGCTCTTATTAAGCTAACTTTCTCAAGCCTTTTGTAAAGATCTAGGAGGCTAACGAGTGACAGATGAAATGTTCTTCTATTATTTTTAATTAGCACTGTTACATTATAATTTGACCATTAGTGTTTCTTTAGATTGGAAGCTTTTCATAAAAAGGATCATTTTAGTTGCTCATATTGCATCTACATGCAGCGGAACCTCCAATTCTCACTGGCATTACAGCATACAAATTCATGTTAATTCACAAACAAATATAACTCATACCATAGCCATTAATCCAAAAGCCCATAAAGGAAAGGAGTGTTAACATGACCATGGAGAAATATAATTATGTTAAAAATACATGTATCACCATAATATTTTAATAAATAAACTAAAAGCGATATAACTTTTAACTCAAGGTTGAGATGATTAAAAAAACAGACAAATACAAGACTTGTCAAAAACCAGGGCCTATATTAGGGGCAGGAGAAAGAAGATGACCAACAAAAGCTAATAACGAAGTATTGCTTCCCCGAGGTACTGGTCAGTCTGAGGAGTTCACTGCAGCAGGATAGCGACTAACTGAATAGAGTGGGTGGCTACAGGGAAAAGGTTAGATAAATATAGTTAAATTGTGAAAGTTCGATAAATTTTACTGCTCGGAGGCCATTCTGTAGAGTTATCCAGTCTCAGGCAGGGCAACTGCCAGCAGGGGCTTGGAACGATCTCTCCTCCCCTCATGTACAGTTCTGCACTGTTAGCTTGGCACGTTGCTGAAGCACTCACTGACAATAACCACCACCACGGAATGCTGGAAAGAGAAATAAATCCAGTGCAAACATGGTGTCACCACAATGGGACTACAGCTCTTCCAGAGAACTCAGTCTGGGACATGGCAATGAGCTACTTCTCCTGTGCCAGCTATGGTCTCTCTCCTAAACTCGGATCCTACAGCTGTACGTTGAACTGGTCATACGGCTGATCGGCACGAAACCTGCTGCAGAGCTGGCAGGAGCTCCCGCAGTTGTTCACAGGGAGGATACAACCGTGACTCCCCAGCACTGACCTCGCCTTGGGTCACAGAAGTGCCGTGCTGACAATATCAGCCTCACAGTCCTGAGGCCTCACGTCCTCTCAAAGGCAGCATCAAAGCTGGGAACCACTCCGTACATCAGCACTGTCCTGTCAGTCACGGGATGCAGACCCAGCACAGTAGTCAGATAACTCGCTTCAAGACCCACAAAAGCAGCGACACTACTGGTGCTGTCCTGCCGTGGCCAAGCTCATGAGCACACTGTGAGCCAGCAGGTCTTGCAGACCAGAAGTTCCCAAACCGTGATTCTCAAACCTCTTCAAATAGCAGAGCTGTCCTGGACAACCACAACAGCCTAACATGCAGACATGTGCACAGCAACCCCCAAAAAAGCAGTTACCCGTGTCCACTGACCAGCAGGATCTAACTGCAGAGCCTCCTTGCTTTGCACTTGCTCTGCTGCATCCATAATAGAAGAGTGCAGCCAGCAGCAGGATTCTCCCCTAAACATGGACAGAGAGTGAATAATCATCAGGACTGGTGGAATGGGATGTGCTAAAAGGAAGAGGGCCGGGGTCCTGATTTGGTGGGGAGAAGTTTAGGTAGTGGGCAGGTTGGAAGATGCAAGGGAACCTCACCACAAGATCTGAGTGGGAGATAAAATGGTGGTGGCAAGAGGTGCAGGTACCTGGTTGAAAGTAAAAGGTTCCAAGCTTGCAGTAAGGAGAACGTGTGGCAGGAGAGTGGGGACAGGAAGTTTTACTCTTCTTTC